GTGAGTACCACGGAAAGTGTCTGTTGTCACCTTAAGTTCACAGTAACAGTTCAAATGTCAGTAGTTATAAAGTCTTCCCGGTCAATGGGGCATTCATTTTAGTTGTCATAATACTGACAACTTTAATTTATTTTTTATCATGTTGTTGTGTTGTAAATGAAAAGATCTAGATATCACTTTTATGGTATAAAATGCCTAGCTGACGTAAGCGAACAGAATTTTCAGAGGGTGTAGGTTCAAGTTCCACTAGGGGCAAAGTTTTATTTCTCCAATTTTTGCTTTGTTTCCTTCTCTTTGTCAAATCAGAATATGTTCATAAATGTTTATTATGTTGTCTTGAAAAATCTTTTATTAATAAATGTTTGCAGTTTTCTAGCTTTACAACTTAAAGATCCTGTATGTTATAGTTGAGGTTGTTACCATGTATGTATGTAGTTAAAGCTTAATGAGGGTCCATCCGCCCTTTCGGGCACAAAATGCAGCTTGCGCTGTCGAGTACGGACCCCGGACATGTCACCAGTCATGTCCTTAAAGAGTTTATTTTGAAGCACAAAATGGTGATAATTAACCCCCATGCAATTTCCACGGAGTATTAGCCAAAGATATGAATTTTGAGCCGAAAAGTAGGTCACTGTAAGGCGGTCAATGAGAACCTAAATGTACAGTAACCTGTGACAATAGGCCGATGCCCTGTGCCTTCTCAGCGACGTGCACGCTCCGAGGGGAAGTGAGAAGTGGAGGTTGTTACCACACTTAATTATAATTATGCTAATAAAACAATTTTCAAATATCGAAGAATATGTAAAATATGTACTGCAAATATTTGTGCACATTATATATGTAATCATTTCATTGTATGCATTCATTTCTTAATGAAAAAAAAATTGACATAGACTTTATAGAAAATAAATTTCTAATTACATCCCTTTATTTATGCATGAAATGTTAAATTCGGTAATATCTGTATATATTACGGTGTTCCGTTTGGACACGTTTGGACAATCGTGACATTTATTTATTCTGTACCCGCGATGCACGATGGTACGATGGTGAAAACACGATGGCACGATGGTACGATGGTGAAAACACGATGGTACGATGGTGAAATCACGATGGTACGATGGTGAAATCGCGATGGCGCGATAGTACGATGGTGAAAACTCGATGTTACATCGCGTTTTCACCATCGTACCATCGTGATTTCACCATCGTACCATCGCGTTTTCACCATCGTACCATCGCACCATCGCGCCATCGTGTTTTCACCATCGTGCCATCGCGTTTTCGCCATCGTACCATCGCACTTTCACCATCGTACCATCGCGATTTCAACATCGTACCATCGTGATTTCACCATCATACCATCGCGTTTTCACCATCGTACCATCGTGCATCGCGGGTACAGAATACAGAAAACGCGATGGCACGATGGTACGATGGTGAAAACACGGTGGTACGATGGTGAAAACGCGATGATTTCACCATCGTACCATCGCGTTTTCACCATCGTACCATCGTGCCATCGCGGGTGCAGAATACAGAAAACGCGATGGCACGATGGTACGATGGTGAAAACACGATGGTACGATGGTGAAAACGCGATGATTTCACCATCGTACCATCGCGTTTTCACCATCGTACCATCGCACCATCGCGCCATCGTGTTTTCACAATCGTGCCATCGCGTTTTCACCATCGTACCATTGCACTTTCACCATCGTACCATCGCGATTTCACCATCGTACCATCGTGATTTCACCATCGTACCATCGTGATTTCACCATCGTACCATCGTGTTTTCACCATCGTACCATCGTTCCATCGCGTTTTCACCATCGTACCATCGTGCATCGCGGGCACAGAATAAATAAACGGAACACCGTAATATATAGATAATGCGTTTTGGAACTGACAATATTGATAAATCTTAATTTGAGCATTATATTTATGATATAAAACCATACAAATTGTGTAACAGGATCTTTAAAATGTTTCAAAATCCGGATAATAAACTTTTCTTTTTCAGAATTGCAGATTTATACATGTAGACTTTTATTGAACCTATAAAATACCCAATTCGTAACATTAGAAGGCAAAATTTTCTAGACATGTTTTCTGAATCCAACCTTTTGTCCTTTTCTTCATGCAAAAATAACAGAGAGATCTTTGGTTTTATTAAATATCATGTCAAAACTATGGTAAATTCTAACCACATCTTATAAAAGATATAATAAGGAAATCTATTCTTTTAATGTTGAAAACATATAAATTTGTTGTTGTTGTTCTTATATTATGATACTTGTAAACGTCAATATTTTTGAAATAAGAATCCTTTAATATTTATGTAGATCTATTTGTATAAATTTGTGTCAAGCATGTAAAAAATCTAACTCTGAGGGCTTTTGAAACACGTATAAATTTAGTTATTGGTCATATAGATCTATCAAGTTTTTTGGAATTTATTGCGAGCACGCGTGCAATAAATTCTGTACTGTACATGTATAAGATTTGAAATAGATCTTGGCTGCGCAAAAATCCATAAAATCTTATACGACCAATAACTATGGAACGCCATTGCTGCCTCATGTTGTTAAATTTCGTTTTATTTTTCCCTAAAAGCGTCTTATTATGTATAATAGAAGTGTTGGCTTGCCAACATTTTATGGGAACCTGTCTTAACGAAGTCTAATTAGGTCAAATATTTTTATCTTGTCAAAACGTAGTGCTGACTTGTCTAAACACTGTCTTATTATTTCAAAACTTCATGTTATCATGTTCAAATCCGGTGTTAACATGCCGAATGGAAGTCTTAATATGTCTAACATGCACGTTATCTATTCGAATTAAGATTTCATTATTTCTGAACAAATACTTGTTTAAATGTGGTGTTGAATTGTCTTGAAATTGTCTCATCATGTGAAACAGTAGTGTTATCTTGTCGGAAGTTGGTGTCATCTTGTCCAAATGTGATCCTGGTATGTTATGATACTGCTGTTTTATGTTATACTGTCGTTTTGTCTTGTCCAAATGTGATATTGACTTGTCTTAACACCGTCACATTTTGTCAGACTGCCATGTGATTCTGTTCAAATTCGATGTTATCTTGCTTAAAGAATGTCTTTTATGTCAAAATAACATGATGTCTTGTCCAACTGTGGTGGTAATTTGTCTAGAAATTTTCTTATTATGTGAAACGGTAGTGTTATCTTGTCGGACCTTGGTGTCAACTTGTCAAACTCATGTCTTATTTTGTCGGCTAGTAGTGATATCTTGTTCAACCGTAATATTGACCTGGCTGAGTGCTGTCCTGTTTTGTCAAACTATTTTGTTGCTTTGTATGAGGTGGTGTTATTCTGTCTTTTTATGCCAAACAATCATGCTGTCTTGTCTAAAACTGTTGTTATCCTGTCTAAAATATACTTATTATGTCAAATACTAATGTTGACTTGGCAATAAATTTTGTTTGTTTGTGTAAAAGTAATTTTATTATGTCAAACAGTATTGTTGACTTGTCGAAAGATGGTATTGACATGTCTAAACACTGCCTTATTTTCTCAGATCGCCATGCTATTTCTTCCAAACTTTATGTTAACCGGCCTAAACACCGTCTTATTATGTGAATAATGGTGGTATCTTTACAAATTATGGTTATGAACTGTTAAAACGATATTTTGATTTGTCAAACTGTCATGCTTTTATGTTCAAATGAAGATTCAACTTGTCTATCTTAGTCTTATTATGTCAAATAGTCATATCATTTTGTCGAAACGTGGTGATGACTTGTCTAAAATTACTATCTTTTTGTCAAAGTGTCATTTTATTTTGTGAAGGTTCGGTGTTGTTTTTACTTAACATCGTCCGTTTATGGCGAAGTATCTTGTTTCCTTTTCAAATGTGGTGTTTACTTGTTGAAACACAGTATCATTATATAATACAGTGGCGTTGACTTGCCAGTCTATGACGTTAACATGTTTAAATGCCGTCTCATTATGTCAGATAATCGTGTTATCCTGTCCAGATGCGATGTTGTCAAAATTTAGTATCACGTGACCAGAGCCCGCGCGGAGCGATAAAAGATAGAACAAAAAAGATAACTGGACAGTTTAGCAAAATCAGACAGCGGTTTCTTAAGACAGAACTAAATTTGAAGAAATTAACACAATTATTAGACATAATAAGACTGTTTCTGTGTTTTGCCAGAAAACATCAATTTTCGACAACACTTCTGTTTTACATTATAAGAAAGAGTTTAGACAAGTCATTACCACATTTAGACAATATACCGCAATTTTTTGACCATATAAAACTGAGTTTTAACCAGTCAAAACTGCTTTTTGACAAAATAGCTTACAGTTTATCATAATAAGGCATGATTTAGCCCAGTCAACACCCCATTTCGTCAAGATAATTCGAATATTTGATATAAAAAGACAATTCAGTAGTGTACGTTAGCAAATTAGCACAGTTGTTTGACAAAATAAGACAATGTTTACACATTTAAACACCGTATTTTGACAAAATAACATGGCAGTTTAGTAAAATTAAGCTGTGCTTTTACACAGAACACTACTGTTTCAAATGATCAGACAGTCTTTTGAAGAAAAAAAACAGCTCCACAATTTGACCAAATAGCGCAACTAGTTGACACAATATGACACATTTCATAAAAGCCAAAACGACATTTTTGACATGATAACACTACTGTTTAATATAATTAAACAATTTTAACACAAGTCAACATCACATTTTAAAGAGATAAGACTACTGTTAGGTATAATAAGGCAATGTTTAGACAAGTCGACAAATTACGATGGCATTACAACGCTTATATTTAACATAATAAGACGCTTTCTGGGCAAGATAAAAAGAAATGTATTAACATGACGCAGCTATGGCGTTCCATAAATAACTATCACTTCTTAAAAATATGTTGTCACCTAGATCTACCATAGTTTGTGTAACTGCAATATGCCAATCTATTTATAGACATTACACGCGCTTACAATATAGATAATAATGTTACATAGTTCTACATGTAAAATAGTTTAATCATGAGTGAAGAAAACGCAAATATAGTGCATGACTTTGATAATTTTAAGAAGAATGTTTTTATGATAGCGTTTGGATTAGTATTGATAGTTATAGCAATTGATTTATTGTTAAAATTTTTGGTTTTATTGATTGACTTTACAGTATGGCTTTTTCAAGTCATAACAAGATTGGTACAAGTAAAATCAGCACGCGTACGGACGGTATTGATTGACATCTGGAAATGTTTCCTGTATCTGTGCGGTATGGAAATATTATTTATTTTTAATTATCTTTGCTTTTTTAGCTCACCTGAGCACGAAGTGCTCAAGGGTGAGCTTTTGTCATCACTCTGCGTCCGTCGTGCGTCTTTCAAAAAATGGCGTCAAACTTTTCAAACAACATCTCCTCCTAGTTCTGGCTTCCAAAACTTTATAAGCCGCTTTTTAACATTTTTGTTTTTCATCAGATGCGGCATTAAAGTTTTGGATTAGACCCGTTACGAAACCTAACCAGAATAACATAAGTTGATTTATTCTTGTTTTTCACTTGCAAATACACTTGACCCGATCAATTCTTGTGCATTTTACGGTAAAACAATTATTTAAATATCGTTCTATACCAATTCAAGTAATAAAATATTAATACCGTCATTAAAATTGCCTATTTAACTGTAAAACATCAATTTTCGCCGACTACAGTCGGCCATGACATTCAAGTGCCACGCGAGACCTCGTATGACGTCATTCGCGGGAACAGATTTGAATAGAGTTGTGTACTATATTTAGAACATTTTGTTGACATGATTTCGATATTTTTATTCAAGATAATGTTTTTATTTATTTTCATAATTTTTTTAGTATTTAAATATGATTTTATTGAATATAACAGTCAGTAAATAACCTTTTTCAACATCTTAAAAAAAAGTAATCTATAAAAATATTGGAGGCACATGGGTTCATAAAGGTCAATCTCGTAATCACGTGGTCAAACATTTTGGCAATATGGCGGCCAAGTGCCGAAATTTTTACCTGTCGGAAACTTTTAGGTAGTTTATGTTCCTAATAAGATTTTTATTTGTCCATCCTTGGCTTATCAACAGATTATATATCGTTTTATCAAGGTATGCTTCACTTTACTTCGTGACATGTTCGATAAATAAATACGAGCGTGTCAGAATCCTGGCACGATTATTGGTGGACTTTCCCTACGGGGTTATCTTCAGCGTTCACGTCATGTCATATATATAAACGGGTACGCTGAAGACCTTAAGCTAATCTCCTCCTAAACCACATGGCCAATTGCAACCAAACTTTACAGAAATGATCCTTAGGTGGACCCCTTTCAAAGTTGTTCAAAAATTTAAATTCCATTAAAAACTCTGGTTGCCATGTAGTCAAAATATATTGACGTGCCAAAGCTTGATTCTGAGATATTTTCGTTCTGGGGCAGAATCTCGCTTTAGAGGCGAGATATTGCCCAGACACGAAAATAGCACAATATCTCGTCGCGCAGTACAATTAGTTGGACTAGTTGCCATGGGGATTTGCAACCAATAGGAAATTCTTAAAAAATCTTCTTTTAAAAAATCCTAAGAGCTAGAGCTTAGATATTTGGCATGAAACATTTTCTAATGAGTGTCTACCAAGTTTGTTCAAATAAAAGCCCGAGGGTCAAAATTTGCCCCGCCCCAGGGGGTCATTGATTTTCCCTATATGCATATAGTAAAAACTTAAAAAATCATCTTTTAAAGAACTCAAAGAGCTAGAGCTAAGATATTTAGCATGAAACATGTTCTAATGGGTGTCTACCAAGTTTGTTCAAATAAAAGCCCTGGGGTCAAAATTGGCGCCGCCCCGGGGGTCATTGATTTTCCTTATGTATGTGTATAGCAAAAACTTAAAAAATCTTCTTTGAAAAAAACCCAAATAGCTGGAGTTTAGATATTAAGCATGAAACATCTTCTAGTGAGTGTCTAAAAAGTTTGTTCAAATAAAAGCCCTGGGGTCAAAATTGGCCCCGCCCTGGGGGTCATTGATTTTCCTTATATGTGTATAGCAAAAACTTAAAAATCTTCTTTGAAAAAACCCAAATAGCTAGAGTTTAGATATTAAGCATGAAACATCCTCTAGTGAGTGTCTACCAAGTTTGTTCAAATAAAAGCCCTGGGGTCAAAATTGGCCCCGCCCCAGGGGGTCTTTGATTTTCCCTATATGCATAAAGTAAAAACTTAAAAAATCTTCTTTTAAAGAACTCAAAGAGCTAGAGCTAAGATATTTAGCATGAAACATGTTCTAATGAATGTCTACCAAGTTTGTTCAAATAAAAGCCCTAGGGTCAAAATTGGCCCCGCCCCAAGGGGTCATTGATTTTCCCTATATGCATATAGTAAAAACTTAAAAAATCTTCTTTTAAAGAATTAAAAGAGTAAGATATTTAGCATGAAACATGTTCTAATTGGTGTCTACCAAGTTTGTTCAAATAAAAGCCCTGGGTCAAAATTGGCCCTGCCCTGGGGGTCATTGATTTTTCTTATATGTGTATAGCAAAAACTTAAAAAATCTTCTTTGAAAAAACACAAATAGCTGGAGTTTAGATATTAAGCATGAAACATCTTCTAGTGAGTGTCTAAAAAGTTTGTTCAAATTAAAGCCCTAGGGTCAAAATTGGCCCCGCTCCGGGGGTCATTGATTTTCCTTATATGTGTAAAGCAAAAACTTAAAAATCTTTTTTGAAAAAACCCAAATAGCTAGAGTTTAGATATTAATCATTAAACATCTTCTAGTGAGTGTCTACCAAGTTTGTTCAAATAAAAGCCCTGGGGTCAAAATTGGCCCCGCCCCAGGGGGTCTTTGATTTTCCCTATATGCATATAGTAAAAACTTAAAAAATCTTCTTTCAAAGAACCCAAAGAGCTAAGATATTTAGCATGAAACATCTTCTAATGGGTGTCTACCAAGTTGTTCAAATAAAAGCCCTAGGGTCAAAATTGGCCCTGCCCAAGGGGGTCATTGTTTTTCCCAATATGCATATAGTAAAAACTTAAAAAATCTTCTTTTAAAGAACTCGAAGAGCAAGAGCTAAGATATTTAGCATGAAACATGTTCTAATGGGTGTCTACTAAGTTTTTTCAAATAAACGCCCTAGGGTAAAAATTGGCCCTGCCCTGGGGGTCATTGATTTTCCTTATATGTGTATAGCAAAAACTTAAAAACTCTTTTTTGAAAAAAAACCGAATAGCTGGAGTTAAGATATTAAGCGTGAAACATCTTCTAGTGAGTGTCTACAAAGTTTGTTCAAATAAAAGCCCTGGGTTTAAAACTGGCCCCGCCCTGGGTGTCATTGATTTTCCTTATATGTGTATAGCAAAAACTTAAACATCTTCTAGTAAGTGTCTACAAATTTTGTTCAAAAAAAACGCCCTGGGGTCAAAACTGGCCCCACCCTGTCCCCAGGGGTGTCATTGTTTTTAACTATATGTGTATAGTAAAAACTTAAAAAATCTTCTTTTAAAAAAACCAATGAGCTAGAGCTTAGATGTTTAGCATGAAACATCTTCTTATTGGTGTCTACCAAGTTTGTTCAAATAAAAGCCCTTGGATTAAAATTGGCCCTGACGGGGTGGGGGTGCAGTAAATCATTGTTTTTCATTATATGTGTGTAGTAAAAACTTAACATTGTGAAATATCTTCTAATGGGTGTCTTTCAAGTTTGTTCAAATAAAAGCCCTGGGGTTTAAACTGGCCCCGCTCCGGGTGCCTTTATACAGGTGAGCGACCTTAGGGCCATCATGGCCCTCTTGTTTGCTTTGAAGCTTGTTATATCTGTTTTGTATTTTTTTATTTTACAATGTTCAAAGCTCTACATGAACATGCTTGGAACGACGTAAGAACACAACTTACACAAGAAATAATTATATATCTACAATAATAGCTCTACTGTAATGTAAACTAATTTGAATATGTCTTCTAAAATTAATTCCAATAATTCAGTATGCATGCGTGTACCCTGTTCCGAAGGCGATACAATAAGCAACACCAAGACGCAGAGCGACACATTAATTTATTTCTTGCATATCAGACTGCGTTTCCGTGAGTTTTACCCATGCCGGAATTTCATCTGACATGGGGTGTTCCAGATGAGTCGCGTGCTGTACAATGGCACGATTAGGATGACGTCATTTTGCCGTTATGAATGAAGTTATAATTAATACGCTGTTGTAAGAAAGTAGTTACGGTTGTAATGATATAAATTTTCATTGAAAATAAAGATAAAGAATTTAAAGTATAATGGAATATGGTAGAATATGCAAGAAAAAAATATCTGACATATGTTTGCGGTTCGGATCGAAATATCCGTCCCTCGGTCACCCGCCCATGGGCGGGTCACCTCGGGACGGATATTCCGATCCGAACCGCAAAATATGGCAGATATTATTAATATAGCACAGGAACTTGAAATTCTATCACTATTAACGATAATATGCAAAATATACCCCTATATACTATAAAAGAAAATTATACTATATAGGGGGTATATTTGGATATTGGTTATTGATAGAATTTCAAGTTCCTGTGTATATAGCTACTTACTGTTTACTGTCTCACAACGTCAAAATGAAATTCATATACGCATGGGGTTCAGATCATGCCCCAACGTGATGCGCCCTTGTAAACACTATATCATAATATTTAATTAAACCAGTATAATCGTAAAATATGCCCCATTCCAGTTCAAATATTAAACTATTTTTGAAGGGCGTATCACGTGGGCGGGGATCAGCGTCAAGTTAAAGTGCACACCGTATTACCGGCGCCAGTGATGGCAGATCACTGCAGTGATGGCAGATACCTGAAATTTACCGCTCGGTACAGGTAGGTTATAAATTTGGTTGTTATTATTATATTACACAAATACGACCCATTGCATTGCTATGAAACTATTGTCCATTGACTGGAGATACTATTAGATAATTTTGGACTCGTTTTTCCTGTTTTAGACTATTTTGAGCAGGTTAAAAGTGACAGCTTCGGAAAAATCCGTGAAAATGTCTGTTTTTTGTTCAAAATATCTCAAGTTTTAACTAACTGGCAGGATTTCGTGATACTAATATAGACGTTTATCCATTGGGATCACGCAAGCCAAATATCTACCCTTTTGGTCGTACTGAATCATTACATTTTGTATTGTAACCGCGTGTTGCTAAAAAGCTTTTTCGATGCACATACCGCAATAATAACTTTTCTATCTTGAGAAAATATTAG